GAAATTCTGCAGTTCACATGTCTTATGTCTGTCTTGGCAGTGCCCCCCTGAGAGGGTGGGTGTCTTCTGAGGGTCGGTTTTTGGAGGAAGCTGAAGCCAGTGAAGAAGCATGTGAAGCTGAAGCCAGTCGTTTGGAGGGGGATGTTCTCATTTGCATCCAATGTTGCCTTGGAATTTGGAAGGGAATGGTGTGGACATGAGTGTGGACGATAGTGTCTATACTCCAGGATGGGTTTCTTCTGACTTACATCTATCTATCTATACCAGGACCCTCCTGTCGGGGTGTCCAATGGACTACCCCACACTACCGATAGGCTTCCAGACAGGGCACCCCGGCAGGAGGGTCCAGGTATAGAGCATGCATATCTTCATTCCTTCGATATCTAGCATAGGACGATGCATGCACAGTGCAGCTGGCAGCTGGCAGCTGTTGTGTTCGCCCACGCCGGAGGCGGAATGGATGCAAGCCATGAAGCTCTTCGAAGCTGCGACCGCAACGGACAGCGCCCTTATTCGGTGGGACCAGGATCTGTCGCAGCCCTATGTCGACACCACCAGCAGCCCTGTGGAAACCAAGCCTACAGCCCTCCCCCCCAGAACTGGCTCCATTGGGGTTCATGACCATCTTTAGACAAAGCCTTATAACAGGCCGACGTCAGACCGTGCTCTTCGTCAGCAGGGGTGTCTGTCGCTTCGGAGCTCGTAGAGTCTCAGAGGGCGTAGAGTCTTCAGAGGTCGGAGGTCGGAGGTCGTGGACGAAGAGCGGGACGCAACGATGTGGTTAGTTATCAAGAACTTTTATTGGTGAGTTATTGTGAGTTTAGTCAAGCATAACTAGAACCAATAGCTAATAACTCACCAAATATGTGCAAAGGCATTTGTGTGATGCATCATGTGTGACGAAAGCTATGGAAACATGCCTCCTTTGTCGCGACTGGTCACTTTTCTACTTCCCATGAGTTTACTGCTGGAAACGCGGAGAAGAGACTGAGGAAACCGGGGCGGTCTACAATAGGATTCAATCAGTGAGTTGTTTGGTATCGACTTGACGTGTTTTTTGGGGTGCGAAGACCTCGAAGAAGCAGGATCAGATGACAGTCCATGACGGAGATCAGATGACAGTCCAGAGCAGGACTGGATCCTGTTCCTGATCCTGTCACTTTCGAAAGTGTTGGGCAACATGTCGAGGACGTGGATGATGCAAAGAAGCAGGTCATCGAACGAAGAATGCGACACGTATTCCAACCAGTGCTGAAACAAACGGTATACTATGAAGCAAACATCCGACCTTGGGTATTTTCACCAAGGGTTTTGCTTGCAACCTTCCCTACGGCTCCAGTCGTACCTCCTCAGAAAGGTATGACTGGACCCTCCTGGCACCCACCCACCCCCCCCCACCGAACCGAAACGAGGGTACGACTGGAGCCCGAGAAGGGCAGGCCGGCGGGCTTGTATTGAAGTGCTGAAAGCACCGCACCGAAACCAGTACCCCTAGACTTCCAAGGCCACTTAAAAAATGGTTGACCTGGTTTTTGTAGTGTAAAATCCTTAGTTGATTCCACAAAGCCTATTAAATTAATGGTTGTTGGAAGCCTAGGGGTACTGTTGTCAGTCAGCGCTTCAGGAACGGATGTGCGTTCAGCTCTCCACCGTTCCTGCGCCGCTTGGTCGAAGGGAAGGGAAGGATTGAAGGGTTGTCTTTGTTTCCCTGGGAAAACCGGAAAGCAGGGGCCCTCAAAACCATGAAACATAGAGGTTTTCACATACAAACACGATGGTTTTGGCTAGGGAGAACCAGGCTTTTGGCTGGGACTGTGGGGCCTGCCATTTCGACCCCAAAATGATGCTCCTGGACCCGACTCTGCAAGGGCTCTGAGGGTCGGTTTCGAAGCATTCCCGAATCGGTGGACCGGTTGACCGGGAAAGGGATGCGTCGTGAAAAGGCCGGAGGCGTAGTATCGGGGGCGAACGTTCAAGCAAGCCATATTGGAACATCTACCAACAGTTCCAAAGGGATGCCCAACTTGGAGGTAGGAGTTGGGTGCTCCTGTCACATCCACGACACATCCACTTGAGCCCTGGATGGGACGAGTCACACCACCCCGTCTTGTGACTCCTGGTATAGAACTCTTTCTGCTTGGGACGGGGTTTCTCGGGTCAACCCCAAGTGGAAATCAGTACTCGGTATTGGGTTGGTCATGGTTGGTCCAATTTATAAGGCTGCAGGGCATTGGTCAAAAGCCTTCGAGCTGCGAATATGAACCAATCAACATCGCCCCCCCTCTTGAACAGCACCTTCCGATCGAGCTATCCTTCGAGATATTTCGATGATGAAGCTTCCAACACAGAGTACCACAGGATATCACAGCTTTGTATGTTGGTGTTTCATGGTGTTTCATGGTGTTTCTATGTTTTGAAAGATGGGATCACCCAACTCTCTAACTGCTTAGGACGGCGGCCATCCATCCCAACCAATTCGCTCGAACTCGAACTCGATCGCCGCGAGAGACCTCGGACGATCCGAAGGGCCGCAAGCTGCGCGCCGAAGAAGAGACGCCTGTTCCGAGATCACCCTGAGCAACAACACGTTTATAACACGTTGCCATTCTTTTTGGTCAGGCTTTCTGCAAGGCTTTTTTGCTTTCTCTTTAGATTTTGTGGGAATAACTCCTTGCAACACATGAGACCATGATCATGAGCTTCCAAACCAGCCACGACCGAACCCAGGTTCCAACATCAGTTGCTTCCGAATCGCGCTTCTTCGCGCTTCTTCGCCGTGCCGAGGGTCAACGCGGTGATCAGCGCCTGCGAGAAAGCGGGCCAGTGGCAGGTGGCCTTGCTGCTGCTGAGCCAGTTAGTCGAAGAGGACCGTATGGACGTGACCAGTGCCTGGGAGAAGGAGAGGGGGGGGAGGCGGTCTGACGTGACCAGGGCGACTGATCAGGGTGGCGTTCCAGCTATGTTTGCAACCTTAAGGGCCAGACACAGATGCAGACACACCTCACTTTCTTCGGTAACAGCTGGGAGTTTCAGCTCACATGGTTCTACTCTTCTCCTTGAATGACCCAGTCCTAGCGGCTTGGTCTTTCAAGAGATTCAAGGGTAGACCTCTCCAACTTTCTGGGTATAGATCTGGGTATAGGAAATGAAACCCCAGGTCCTGGCAAATGCCAGCACAGCCAACACACTTTTCACATAATCTAGCCTTGCAGGTGTGAAAGCGACATGAAACCAAGACCCAGGTGAGAGGATTGCGGCGAACCGTTTTAAACATAGCAAAACCATCCCCGTCTGGGTGTTCAATGGATACCCTGAACTACTGAGGGATCGACAGGACACCCAGGTCTAGGATAGTCCAGGATTCCCATCTCTTTCAGAGTCGAACAGAGGCTACAATGCAGCCATCAGCGCCTGCGAAAAGGGAGTTCAGTGGAGGCGCGCGCAACGGATGGAATGGGCTTGTTCGGGGTAGCCAACGACTGTGGCCGCCCATCATTACAGGCCCAAGCAGGTTCGCCAACGACTGTTTGCTACCTAGAACCCAGAGTTGACTCATTGATGACCTTTGTTTTGATCGGAAAAGACCCTGTTTGGACTCCCCAAGTTCCAGGGTCACTTGATGGATTCACAAGGAGTACACCGTGGGAGTTCAGATGCACAGCTCGATGTTTGAACTGGGGGAGAACTGGAGTAGTTCAGATGAGGTACCTCCCAAGCATTCACGACTAGATCTTAGATCGCCAACTATACACAGCCAGAGTCATGGGACTGTTCTAGACGGATTGCAGGAAAACCTGATAGTGTTCCTTTTTTTCTAGTATGTGAAATCCGCTCTTCCTTATTTATCAAGGAAAAATGAAGGCTCCTAAAAAGGCCATAGCATTGGCACTCGTTTTTCACCTGACTTCGGCCACTAGGCTGGCGCTGCAGTTGCTGAGCGACTTGCAGCAGAACCCGTCGCTGCAAGCGACGGTGGTGACCTGTGGAGCTGCCATCAGCGCCTGTCAGAAGGGGATTTGTTGGGAAGGCGGGGATTTGGGGGAAGGGACCCAGTGACTGAGCAAACCCGCAAACAACAACCGCTGGGAAGGCAGGACCGGCCGGACCCCATGACTTCCGGGGCCCTGTGACATGGAGCAGTTGGCGCAAACGGTCCGAACTCCCCGAGAAAGGGACGCGCGTTGACGCGACCACGTGGACGGAACTCACCAGGTGCGTTTCCACGTGCTTTCTGACCATCACCAAGCACGAATGGCTGTTTGGCTGTTTGCAAGCGGGGGAGGTGCCATACGATCCACAGGGCTTTTTCAATGAAGAACTCGGAATCTGTTGGAATTTGGGGCGCTTTTTTCCCACGCGTGGCTGTTCGATATATCATGCTGGCTCCGGGATACCCCACGGGGGGGACGATGAGCTACGGCGGCGGCTGCAGTGCTTGGAGGCAGTCTTCAGCTGTTGCAGATGGCAGAGGAAGTGACACAGGAGGCGACACGTTCGTGCGGGTTCAACGCAATGTGGTTCGGTCTCGCCTTGCAACGAACTAGGGCCATTTTCTCAGAAGAGAATGGTGTTCACATGTGTTCACTGAACACTTTGTGCAGACATGTGTACAACCAGCAGTACCTATGTTCAACATACACTAACTATTTCCTTGGTTCATCCCAAACTCCTCAACAAAAGGAAAATAGAGGACATATCCACCTCCAAGTTTGAGCATTTGTGATCCATATTGCCATATTTGCTTTATGGGATGTATTCAACCTCCCACATGCTGGAGAAGATGAGCAGGTGAGCAGCACTGCCATCAATGCCGCCTTGAGCGCGTTGGCGTCAGCGGCACAGTGGCAGAGGGTGCGCCCGTTTCGGCGGTCGGTCAATTCGCTCCGCTTTCGCCAGCAAGGGTCGCTGGAGTCACTGTTGTGGTCACTCGAAAGAAGGTCTTTTTGAAAGCCGAAAACATGGAAAAAGGCATGTGTCAAAATGTGGACTTCTTTGAATTGGGCACGGAAAGGTCTCTGACCCTGTCTTTTTCCCACAAGCACCTATACCAACCCGAAAGAGAGAACCATGGCGCGTTCACCATCCCATCATCCACCAACGGCGCATCCAACGGACGACGTCCGAACGCCGCGCCGACGCCGTCCTGCCGTCCCAGGCGCTGCTGCTCTTCCACGGCGCCGTCGCTCCCACGGCGATCGGCCTCGGCAGTTGCGCGGACGCCTGCGCACGCCGCACGCGGTGGCAGGCGACCGGAACTCCGGAGGGGCGGCGTGCGTGGGCCGGGGCGGTGGCGGTGATGACGGCCAGATCCCAAGGAATGGAGGTCGCTGAATGTCGCTGTTGAATGGTAAAGCAAGTGCGAGAAGCAAAAGGCCAGGCAGTGGTCAAAAGCCCCAAAAGACCCCAAAAGAAGATGTGAACAGCAATTTAGAGAAAGGGTGGTTGATAGACCCAGAGGAAATCTCATGTGCTCACCATGTGCTTAGAACGATCCGACCTGGCCCTGGGTGTCGTGCGGTGAGGGTTCCTGTTTGTTTTCATGAGCAACAAATAGTTTGGGTGGTTCTTGTGGCCAGCTTGTGGAGGCGAACAGGACCAGGTGAACGTGACCCAGCGGCCTCATTCGGTGCAGATTTGTTGTGACATGCGAGTGGAGTGGACTGATCAGCCTGATCTCCTGAAACATCTATATGAAGTCCCTCACGATCTCTGAAAGCACGACGAGAGGGAAGGCCACACATGAGAAAAGCCTCGCAACAACAAACATCTCCTTTAAGGCACACCTTTACTACAGCACTGAAGCTTGTCCAGAGTGGTTGGGAACCAGAGTCAGTTCTTCAACCTGCTTTTGGCCAGTTAAACATGACCACCCAACCCCAGACCATCCAAGTATGGAATATATGCCTACATTGACCTCCCAAACCACCCCAAGGTTGGCATATATGTCAGTCCCATGCGTCTGGTCTGGAAACAGCTGCCCGACACCACGAGGCGTGTGCCCAGCTGTTGCGAACGGCGGAAGCTCAGTTGCTCCAGTTACTTGGGCGTTCTTTATATCGGAAGAGTGGCCACTCCCTTTATAGGCAATGCCCCCCAAGATCAAGAGGCACTTGTTAAGTCATCACATCTTCAAAAAAGGTATTGACAGACCAACATCTCTATTATCTATATCATATCTATAGATAATATATACTATAACATCATTAACAATGGAATTGGCACACAACGGCAAACATGTCCATATTTTGTTTATAGGCATCACGCGTTTGGGTCTCGAACAAATCCCCAAAGCCGAGGCCCGATCCCACGACCTACAGCTTGGTCATCAGCTCCTTCCAGAAAGCCTTGCAAGCGAGCCTTGGTCTGATCGATCGAAGAGAAGACGCACGGACAACGAGGGATGGGGGGGACAAAGGGGAAGGTTGAAAAGGGAGGCGTGCAGATTGAACACTTTGGGAGGCCAAAAGGCAAAAGAGGTCGAGTTTGTGAAGGCACGTAGAGTACTGAATTATGTAAAATATTTCATATATATATATATATATAGAAGTTAGAAGTTCATAGAAATTAACTTTGATGAGATTGCGAACTATCAGCTTAAGCTGAAAAATATGTCTCTTTCATGTTTCCTTCTGGCAGTTGCCCGGTCATGTTCATGATTTTGGCTGGGTCCATTTGGTGGTCAATGAAAGAACAACAAGAGGTTCTCATCGCCCAATTTCTTAGATCTATGAACTACCCTAACTCGGACTCGGAACTGGTGCTTTTTTGGTCTTAGTACTTAGATCTATAGAACTATCCAGTGTCCACTGTGGGGGGTGTACATTTGGTGGCGAATGGAAGATATATAGATGTTCCTATTACTGAATCTAGTTGAATCTAAAGAAAGCCCCCATCACTTGCAACTGAGTGTCGCAACTTTTGCTGGCCTGTTTCATGACATTTTCGTATAGCAAGTCATCCAAGACGTCCAGAAATCGGGGAAGGACCGCCATGTTTTCGGAGCACCTGGACGACGTCAGGACGTAGTCTTCCGTCAGCAGACAGTCCTTGATCAGGCAACGGACAAGATGAGTTTCACTCACCAACTTGATGTATAGACTGCTGATCCATCGAACCCCCCCTAAAGAAACATGCCTAAAACCCTCCAAGTAGTATAGGTCTAGAACTTTCTGGTTGATATTCATCACTACCACGAGTGGATCCTCGTTTCCAACTCCAGGAGACTCCTTGCACCGTTCCGTTCGGTCTCGTCCGGCTCCCTCGTCGCGCTCCGGCTCCGCTCCGGAGGACGCCCAGCCCGGAGCTGCTGGGCGCCGTGCGGCCGAAGGTCTTCGCGCTCCTGCCGAGCAGAGCCTTCGCCGGTGGGCCGTTTGGCCCGGCCCGGAGGGTGGTGGAGGAGTCGCGTGTGAGATGTGGAGCTGACGTGTGAGATGTGGAGGTTCGAGGAGGTGGGCAGGGAGCTATCCACTAAGTAGGAGATGCGAAGTGGGCAGCTTCCGACTGCCACTGCCACAAACATCTCTGTGCCTTTGGGACCTGGGCTGGTTGCAAGATGTTGCACGAAAACTGTTTCATTGACTGGAACTGGACTGAAGATGGCTGTAGATCTCGATCATCCCAGCTGTCTCGAAGACTGGCGAGTGCCGTGGAAGACGGGCTCGCCGACGGGGGGCGAAGCGATCAGACCGCCACGGGAGCGACGGGCGACGCGACAAAAAGCGGCTGAGCGTGGCTGTCTCCTGGACCATGTGGCTTTTTGCAGGCCCAGATCGGTAGAAAAGGAGCAGGCGGACGAGGATGTGCACAGAGATGTCCAGGTTTCCGCTCCCCTAGAAATGATACTGATATCTTCGCTCTGCTTCGCATCCTTTCTTGATTCGAACATTCTCCCTTCAACTCCCACTTAAGTCATGGATTTATATATTGGACTTGGCTCATTCTGCCGAAGACACCCACCCACGAATGATACTGCAGCCGTATTTTCGAGTAGTTTTGATCCATGCCCAAAAAAGGATCCACCCTTCCAATCTACAGGGGTTTCTGAGCTTAAGTGGTTCAGATTGCAGGGATGCCCCCGATGGACAGCTTGAAGCTGGGAAACTCAAGTTTTCCCAACTCCAAGTTGCAGAACATTTGGCTGATCTGGCAGAGCATCACATGAAACTTGTTTCAAAATATATCAAAAGGAGTTTGATCAAACATCAACTGAGAAGATCACTTAATAGTCCCAAACATTTGCTCCAATCCTGTCCAACGCATGTCCCGTATAGTGGAACTCCTTGTTCAGGACGGGATTTTTTGGGGCACGCTTCGGGCACTGCTTATACACCTTCTGCAACACCTGAGCCCTGCAGGAAGTGAAGACGGAATTGCGCTTCCAATCCCAGGCGAGACCGATTTGGTGTGTTTCAGGCTTCTTGTTTCGGAGCTAGAGGGTAGAGGGTAGCTATTTGGGTCCAACAGCAAGCAATGGATTGAGGCCATACATGCTATATTGCTATACATCTAACATGTTCTCAAGGTCCAAGAAGTGATGTTGGGCATGCGGCAACCCGAAAGACAGGTGCGAACCCGAACCGTTTGGGGGATCAGATGCCAAGCTGTGTGAGAACAAGCGGAACAAGACCCAGCTCTTTGATTTGAGAATCCTATTGCTTTGGATCGTATAGACATCCAGCTATACGTTATTTGTTCAGGCAAGACAACACACGCAGGCGTAGGGCTTTCGTAGTGTAAGCAGGTGTTGCATTGAGGCGTGGTAGGTGTTCAAGTAGCGATCTATTATGATCTATTTGTGGCCTCGAACCATGGGTGTTGGCTTCATATGAGGCCCCATATGCACAAGAACGGCCAGGATGGATCTCCTCAAGTTCGCTAGGCCCATGCCAGACACCCATGTGATCCCCAACTGAAGGAACGTTCTTCTGATCCACATTGTAAAAAATAGACACTTCAGCCAGGAGTCACCAAGCTCGGGGTGGTTTTTAGTCACGAAGTGACTTCAGGAAGCTCTTTCTTCTTGAGATCATCCACTTCCGTGGGCGAACGATCTCCGCTGATGCCCGCGCTTACGCCTGGCCGCGCACGCCCGCCCGCTAGCCGACGCTTGCCGCGCTAACGCCCGGCCGTGCGTTTTAAGGCGATCCTGGCCTTGCAGGAGGCGGCCGAGGCGTATTTGGTGGGTCTCTTCGAGGCGGGCGCGGCGATGCGTGGGATGAACGCGCGTGGGATCCAAAGGGATGGACCTGGCCGCTTGGGACGAGGATGTGTGAGAATGGATTTGGTCCAAAATGGGGGAGTGGATGATGTGTTGATTGAGTGGTCCAAAAGGGTGCAAAAGGGTGGAAGGCCTGAGTCTACTACCTGGTTCCTCCCCCCAAAAAAGTCCAAGGATTGGAACGAGAAGAAACGAAGTGGAGGTGGAAGAGCCACCGGTTTGTTGCGAGCTGCTCAGCAAACAGCATATGGTTTGAGGTTTATGCAGGACTAGATGCTCCGACGTGGCACGGGGACGAGTCGTTCAAAGGGTGTGGTTGGTGACAAGAACAGGCTGTTCTGTTCATAGCTGTTCATCTTGGTATACCCTTGGGCAACAGACGATGTACATCCCATAAGACATCCTGGAATCCTTCAAAGCATTCTAATTGTTCAATTCAATTGGGGGGAGGTTATAGGCCCTCAAGAGTTAAGTATTCTACACTCTTCCTGTGTCTCTCTCTCTCTCTCAGGCGAAATGCTAGACATCACTCGTCAGTCTGGCACAAATCCACAGCGCTCGTCCGTGAACGGACGCGAGTTCGGAACGCCTGGCCAGGACACCAACCTCTGTGCAATCCACGCAAAACGCGTCACGATCATGCCCAAGGCAGGGCCCAACACGTCACAGCGGAACAGCTGTTTTCCTCAGACTCAGGAAGAGTTCGGGAGTGTCATTGTGAAAGTGGCCAATCATTGGATTTTATTGGTTGGAAGGACCATCCCACCAATGACTGGGGTTCTGGAACCTGGTGCCATCTTGAGATCTCGTTCACTTTTTGACTTTGGCACCTTTGGCCTTCATGGAATGGCTACTGCACTTGAAATCACTGTCACCTGTTCCATGTTGGTTGGAGGACATGTTGGCATCAAGGTAGGTCCAGCGAGTTCAGGGTGGGTCCAGGTTGTTCGATATTCAATGGATGGTTTGCTGTTTTGAGCTATTCCTTCTGCCAGACTGTTGTACTATCCATTGGATGGTTGAATCATTCGACATGTTGGCGAGTATGTTTGCTCAGGTGGATCTAATTCTCAGCTTCAGTTGATTGACTGTAGCAGCCCAGAACTCAAAACCAGCTAAGACGTTCCTTCCAAAGTGTTAGCTCGTTGGATCGGCGACCTATCGGAGGATTACACGACTTCTGACTGGTGCGACGAAAGAAGGTGGCTGAGGGTGGCTGGATCCAATAGAATCTCTATTGGGGGGCGAAACTTCCCTTATTCCCTACGAGTCGCACCAGTCAGCTTTGGGCTCCCAGGATCAGGCTTCCACTTTCAGACGACATCAAAACTACACCAATTTGGACATCTCTGAGTAGTCGAATCCAGCGGGTGGTCCAGGAAGCAGGTACCCCGGAAATCATGAAGATCGCCTGGTGAACCTCCTGGCAATCGTGTTCTTTTTTCTCGGACCTGTTGGGATGGAAAACGTCATGAAAAGGGTAACGTCTTATTTACTCACTGGATGGGAACTCAAAATCTTTCACTACAAGTCCAAAGACCCAGTAAAACCTGGTATTTTACTTCCTTGAGTTATGTTTTTGTATGACCAACTCCAGGAAAATGAGGTCCAACTGTCCAACTGACCTGCTTCGCGCGTTTCCTTTCACACTCTACTTGGCACCCACCGACGCGACGTCCTCCGCGGAGGATGTGCAGCTGGCACGGCGCCTGCGGGGAGAGCGCACCTGAGAGACGATCTCGTCCCACGAGCGAAAGTTCGCTGGGGCGATGGGGGGGCTCGTTCGCGAGATTCGCCGGGCCGCGGCTGAGAGGGTGGGTCGCGAGCAGACATGCTGGTTGGATGCTGCGGTTTGGTTGGCTGGTTTGGGGGTGAAAAGGTCCGCAGTCCTTTCATTGGCTGATTTGGCCCAAAACACGGGCATGTCACCTGGTCTTTCATGGTTCAGGGTCGTGAAATGTTCAATATCTGTGTTCTTTGACGTGAGATGTTGATGCTTGGTGGCAGAACATGGCAGAAACGGAAAACGGCACATCCTCCTTTTTTGGGGTGATGTTCAGCACTTCATTCGGTGGGCCAAATAGACATACTGAAACCATGATGCATGGACATCAACTGAGTGTGATGGTGACCCTTTCCAGTGAGAACCCTTTCCGCTCTGGCGGTCTCTGGCGAATCCGAACGGGGGAGAACCACTCGCGTGTGGGGTCGGCGCGAGAGCGGCGGCGATCTGGGACTCTCAGTCCGAAGCCTTCGATGACGGTTGCTGTTCCTAGTAGCTTCTTGTTACTAGTAGTAAGGCACTTGTTACTAGAAGCGATGCACTTGTTCCTAGTAGCTTCTTGTTACTAGTAGCGATGCCAGGAGCCTCGAAGGTAGCGTCCGATCGCTCCTGATTAGTAGCGATGCCCGAAATGCTCCTAGTTGAAGACTCTTTGAATGGGAGGAGAAAGGGACCAAAGCCCTGCCGAATGCCACTGAACATGTCGGCTCCAACGAGGCTTTTTCGGTCATGGAACTGTCAAGACTGGACTCGGTAATGAGCTGTCACGGTCATCGGTCCCGACGCGGTACGGGGGGTTCTTTGAAGTTAGGAATACCCTGAGGTGTCCCTTGAAGGCTCATGTGGACGCCGAATCGGCTTTCTGGAGCGCAATTCACAGTTCTGTGGGTTGATCTCTTTGGGTGAAAGGCAGGTGGTGGCAGGATGCTGATGTTGGTGAATGTGAACATGGTTGGACAGTTGCTAGAGGGTGATCCAGGCTGGATGGGGATTCAGTTCAGATTGGACCCCCCATCAAGCAGCTCATGCTCCCTTGCCAGATTGGATGATGGAGGAGTCTAGATGTTGCGCCAGTTGAGCTGTCCCAGGCGTCTCCAGTTGGTCTTCCTACTTTGAACATCACCTGGCATCCTATGCTCTTCAAGAGAACACATTCAGAAGCCCGAAGCACCATGAAGCTCCGCGACAGACGCAGATGGATGCAGATGGGACGTTCATCTCATAGTGTGAACATATCGAAAAAAAGACTCTTTAAAGAACATTAAGGAACCTAATAACGATGGCCTCCTAGCGCTGGCCTCCAACCTACTAGCGGCCTATGGAACATGTTAGATGGATCAGACATGATCACACCATCTGATGTCTCCAGATGACACACTTCACTTTTTGGGGCAGGAGAACTGAGAATCTCACTCGATTTCTTGCGCAG